TTCTTTCGGTAATATTCTGATGTGCATTTTTACTCTTGACTTTTATCAGTACGTGATTAATTCTTTAGCTCACAATTCTAGAGGAGATACTGCTAGGGAAACAGAATGTAAACATAAAGCAATTGTTATTTTTTGCTATATTTTTATTACTTAAAAATTAGAGATTTATTGAACTTCAACTATCAACTATTTATCTAGAAAATTTGGAAAGCTGAAGATCAAAGCAGGAGGAACATTGGAAAGAACTTATTTATAATCCTAGCACTTAAAGATGACTTCATTCAAGATTTGATTTACATAATTTTCACCTTATTTTAATCTACTGCATATGTACCCAAAGAGATAGTTTTGTTTTTAAACTGCTTTTCCTCCCACTTATTGGTGTTCACTAATATGACCTTTGTCTGTCATTGGACAGCATTTGCTTTTTATTAAAATGAGATGCCTGTATAATGCATTTTATTAATTACCCCGAAATGTACCTTTAGTTGGTTTCTAGTTTTTCACTACTGTGTGGAGTTCTATCAGCGATCCTGTGTTTTGCTCCCTGGGCAGGTCTACTGTGATGGCATTAAGACAAATTCCTAGAAGGAGAATTGCCAGATATCATTGCAGAAAACTTTTAAGGCTCTTGACAAATATTGTCACATTTCTTTAGACAGTCTATGCATATTGGCATCCATACCAAAGTGGTATGAATGTGAAAGGAAATGATTACAAGGCTTCAGGTATTTACCTTAAAGTCAATCAAATCCTGCCCTGCTCATCTTCTGTGAGGACACCAGCTGTTAGTGTGTATCAGGCACCTTTGTGAGGTGAGCTCATAAGCCTGTTCCCTTTCAGGAAATGCTCAGCATGGAGTAGTGAGGTGAGAGCACTAATTGTTCATAGAACCTGAGAGAAAAGGCATAGTAGTTAGTGGTGGGTTTTCTGGTCAACTTCATCAGCCTGTTTTTTGAGTTTATGTTGAGTTAAATTTTATTTTATTTACAATATATTATTTTATTGAATTTTTGTGCATCTCATACATCTTTTTTCAATATATGCTTTTTGTTGAATTTTTGTGTACTTCATACAAAACATTTAGACCCCTCCCACTATCTGCACCCCTTAACGAACCCCACCAACTGGAATTTGATCTATTCTGTCATATTTGTTAAGACCTATGAAGTCAAGTTTGTGTTCCCAGACGTCTCTTGGTGAGAGTTCATCCACTCAAATCTTGTCAACCTATCACCCCCTTAAGAAGACCAGTTCCCCCTCTCTGAACAGTGCTGAGCTGCCAATAGTTTCTCAGCCAAGGTTGGAGCTTCTTACCCACTTCCTCACTTCTGTGCCGGGATTTTGTCAGGCTTGAGCCTGCATGGTTTTGGAGCATTCTCTTATTATTGCTGTATGTTCATAGGAGTAATTTCCCAGTGGTCTGGAAAACTGTTTCCTTGTGGTCATCCACCACCTCTGGCTCTTAGAATCTTCCTACCCGCTCTTCTCCAATGGTCCCTGAGCCCTGGGTGGCACAGGTCCTATTCAGGGACGTGCATTTTGTGGTGAGAGCTGAGAGATGCTATGTTCCATGAGTTCTAGGTGTAGAGATTTTATTTTAGATGTGTCGCTTAGATTATTCACTCAGGATTAAACGTCTCACAGACAACTATTTGATCAGTTGTGAACTCAGTGTTAGTCTCCATCTGTTGCAAAAAGAAGTTTCTTTGAAGAGTGGTGAGAGGTGTTCTTGTCTGTAAAAACAAGGATCCATATTTAGCATATGTTAACAAATTACATTTGTCTAGGAATGTGATAGACATAGGGTTTCTCTAGGATCCATGACCTCTCCAGCCATGTGTATTAGGCTGTGTTTGTAGTGGCACTCATGAGTTTCCTCCCCTAGAGTTAGCTTTAAGTCCAGCTAGATGTCTGTTGATTACCCCCAATATAGAAGTGTTAGTAGTGCACCAATAGAGATAGTTTGTTGTACTGATCATTGTTGTAGTTATTAGGCTGAGTAGGACCATTGATTTATTTTTCTCCCTTAGCAACTTACATTTAGTAATGTCTGATACTATGGGAGCTAGTCTTCAGGGAGGAGGTTTCCAGGTCAATTGCAGCTCAATTGCTTCAAGTCCTGTGTTTGAAGTATGTCTTATCTTCAGCAGTAGTGTCCTACCTTCAAGTTCTAGGAGGAAATCAAGGTCTGTCACAATAGGCTGTATTATTTTGGGAGTCTCTTGGCTACTCTGACCAACAACTTGAAAGGAAGTTTCTCCTCACTGTTTCTTGTTATACTGCCTTCAGCTATACACATGCACTCGTGTATAGATATTGTAGGTGTATTTTTCAGTAGGCTTTTGAACTAATACATTTCCCTCTGTTGTTTCCCACCAACTAAGCCTTTTTTAAATCTCTCCTTTCTCTGTCTCCCTACCTAACTCCTCCTCCCTCCCCAGTTACTATACCCTGATTTTTCTCATTTCCCCCTTGATAATACCTGTCTCCTATCATTCCCCCTTTTCTTGATCTCTTCTTCCCCTTTATCCCCATGTTTCTTTATAGAACCCTCCCCCCTCTCTTCTTAAATACCCCCATTTTACGCATTTCAGCCTTGGTAACCTTTCTCCCATTATCTCCCTCTCTGTGGCCCCTTCTTTCCATTCACCCCCATGATTCCTTTCCATTTTCCTGGCTCCTGCAGTTACATAAGGATTTGGAGCTAAGATCCACAAATGAGAGAGAATGAGTGTCGCTTGTTTATTCAATAAGACTTTTGTCAAGAAAATTCTTGTGTTTTCTCTTCTAGTGCCTTCAGTGGCTACACAGGAAACCTGGTCCTGGGAGCAGTACTTGAAAGAATGGAATGCTGTGGCCGCACCTGTTGAGCTGTTTTCCAAGGTCAGCCACAGATGTCTTATATCTTTTCAAGGTGTCAACACTTAGGAAATTTAATTAAAATGAAATAATTTGCCTGTATAACTGAAGAATTGGTTTGAATTTGTAGACTAGGATAGGAAATGACCCAAAAAAAGCTTATCAGAAATTTGTTTCAGAGTATACATAGATCCTAGGTTTGAAGCCTAGTATTGTCTTTTACCAACTCTGTGACCCCATGCAGGCAATTCAACCTCTCTGTAGCTAAGTTTACTCATATGTAAAGTAGAAAAGGCATTCTCTCTATGTCCTTAAGTTGTTGGAGGACTAAATAAGTTGCATATGTAAAGTTTATAGGATGCAATCTGCAAATAATTATCATTTTATTAAATATTACTCTGTATTTTTATTACCTGATATTATTTGTATATGTCAGTTCAGGGTTATGCTATTGAGATCTCTTTTCATATATTGAGCATTAATTATGGTAAAGTGAGAGGGTGGAGGAGACAGTGGAACCCAGAGCATGCCATCCTGACTAGAAAAATGCACAGAGTAACCAATACAGATTTGTTTGATCAAGAGCCTAGGCACTAGGGAATCTTCTGTGCTTATGGTACCATACCTTTTGATGCTTTTTAAATTCTTCTTTGTCTGAGTTTTCAGCATTTTATGGGAAATTTATATGAAAAGGTCTATCACTTTTGCATCATTATGTTGTATTTTAATCCACAGTGAGAAGTTTTTAAAAAAATTACTGAGAATTTTATATGTGTATATAAGGGATTTTGATCAAATCCACACCCGTTCCCTCCCCTCCAACACCTCCCACATCTCTCCATCACTATTTTTGTGCCCTTTTTTGTATTCTTCTTTCTTTCTTTCTTTCTTTCTTTCTTCCTTCCTTCCTTCCTTCCTTCCTTCCTTCCTTCCTTCCTTCTCTTTTTTTAATAGGGCTTTTTGCTACTCTAACATTCTTCCTCCGAAGAGGTAACGCCCAAATCTTTTAGGGATGAGATAAGAGCTTCCAAATAACTTTTGATTTTTGGCCTTTGGAACAGAGCATGTTGCCAAGAGGCCGAATGACATTTTGATTTTTAGCCAAGAAACCAGCTACTTTTCTTTGGAGCCTTTTTACCCTAACTGCCTAGCCAATTCCTAACTCCTATTCTTGTCACACCATCCTCTGAGGTTACCCAAATTGCCGATAGGGAATTGAGACACAGACCGCTCTGGCTTTATCCATGCTGAACAAGGACGCAGGGTGAGGCAATTGGAGTACCCCTTCAGTGAGTCTATCTAAAAGACTCCCAAATTGTATAACTCTTATCTGTAGGGAGAAAAGAAAGTCCTTGACTGGTGAATAGGGGATGTGAAGGAGAAGTAAAGGCAAGAGTAGTTAGCATTGCAAGTTTTAGACAGGCAACCAGAAAACAGTCAGAACAGGGCAAATTTCAAATGTTCATATCAGAATCCATTGGAATTTCTTGACTAAAGCTTCCGAAAGCATCCCTCTATTAGGTTCCTCCTCATTTTTCTTTTGTTTGATAAGGCTCGACTCTAGAGTGATGGACTCAGACAGTGAGAAATTTTAAAAGATTTTCTTTGCTTAATTTTCATGGCGTTTGTTGTGCTAATCATGTTTGTAATCATGGATGTAGCAGAAGGTACGGGAGAAGTAGATAACAAAGAGGAAGAAAAAAGAGATAAAGTCCTGGCACCCACAGTCCAGTACTAAATATTTTATGCCATGTGGGTCAGTGGCTTCCATAAAAATTATGAATGTTGAACCATGGAAACTGAAAGCTTCTAGAGCAAATATTGTTAAACCAAGTCTACATATTAGAGACCTTTCTGGAGCTTAGGAAAGTACAGATGTGTTGGTATTCCTGATACCTACCAAATCAGAATCTCAGGAAACATGCAATCTGGGAGCCTCCATAGGACATTCTCTATGTAGCTCTGTGGTATGCTCCCTTGGAAGTTGTAAGAGCTGTGTGGCTCCTGCTTAATACTCAGAACCCTGCCACCCTACTTCGCTGTGACCTGATGAGTGTGTTTTTTCCACCAAAACTATCTGATCCCATAGTACACATGCTACACAGATGCAGCTCTCTTTCTCCGTGTATCCTCTTTTTTTTTTTTTCTGTGTTGAGCATGTTTGTATGATCTGACAATATTAACTGACTTCTGGGAAACATGGTGTTATTTATGAATGCAGAAGGCCTTTAAAGAAGTGGCTTAGACCAGGGAAGCCCCGTGTTGTTCACAGGCCTTTCCCTCTTTGCTTGTATCCATCTTATACCTGGGAGAACACTGTGCTTAGGAATCATATCTGTACTACATCCTTAGATCGGGGTCCTAGAACAAGAGGTTAGGATGTTAGATATTTGGGCAATGGGTTTGCAAAGGAAGGTGAGCTCTGGCTGGTGAGAGCAGTGTCAGATTCTGTCTCTCTCCTGTGTTCTTTCACTCCAGCCAATAAGTGTATTGACATCCTTACAGCGTCTCCTGAAAGATCTTTTGAAGTCCATCAGTCAGTGCAGCAATGCTTGCAGACCTGAGACTTTCTCCTTCAGGTTTCCCATCTTTGTCTGGTATTAGTTAAAAAGCCGGTGGTTAAGAACACTTGGTATTTTTTCAGAGGACCGAGGTTTGATTCCCAGCACCCACATGGCAGCTAACTATCATCCATAACTCCAGTTCCCAGTATTTCAACACCCTATTGAGGCTTCTGAGGGGTATTGCACACACGGTGCACATACATACATACAGGCAAAACACACATACTCATAAAAATAGAAAAAAGTAAATTATTTAAAAAAAAAGAAAATAAAAGGTCATCCAGGGGAAAGGGAGAGTTTTGTTCCCGAAGCAAACATATAGCCGTGTTGGGTGCTAAGTTCTTGGGCTGTGGAGCATGGGGAGTTTCTTCCTTGACTTTTTGGTAGACTTGTTAATCTGCATTTTTTAAATGTATATTTTTATTGAATTTTTGTGCACTTCGTACAAAACATCTTAATCATCTTTTTTATACCCCCTCTCCCATCTGCACCCCTCATACCCCCTTACTGGATTTCATACATTCTGTCATATATGTTAAGGCTTATCAAGTCAAGTTTGTGTGCCCAGATGTCCTTCAGTGCAAGTTCATTCACTGGAGTCTAGTCAGGCTATCTAGAGTCTCTCCCTTAAAGAAGATCAACTGTCCCTCACCCAGCAGTAATCAGCTGCCAATAGTTCTTTGGCTAAGGTTGGGGCCTGCTACCCATTTCCCCAATTCTATGCTGGGTTTTTGTCTGATTGAATTTGCATGGATCTTGTGCATGCTGATACCATTGCTGTAAGTTCATATGAGCAAGTTCCCAGAGGCCTGGAAGAACTCTGGTTCCTTATGATCATGTACCCACCCTGACTCTTAACAACCTTTCTGCTCCCACCTTGTCATTTAACTTTAAGGGAAAGGAAAACGTGATGCTAGAAAGTACTCAGTGATAGTACAGGCAGGGTTCCCTATGGAGGGAAGAGACTGAGAGACTGTAGAGTCAAACTGGGTGGTTAGCACAGGATATGCTCTTTTATATTATTAGCTCTTGGCTAATAATATGACTGAAATATGATTGAGCTTTAACATTTGTCAATGCTGAAAGTGACAGCCAAACATTAGTATATAGTAAACAGATCAATAGTACATGCTGGCTACTTTTATCTTCCCCTCCAATCTGATAGGGAGGTGCTCGTGTTTTAAGGCTCTGTGTATGGCAAGTGACATCTAGAGGGCCCCAAACACCAAGGGGTTGTTGACAATGTTCTCAGAATCTTTTGTTTAATTGGGATATAATATATACCCTTAAAACTCAGTGGTAAGGTGAGGTAGAATATTACTTGGCAGTGGAATGTACAAATGATTATAGGAAGCCTTCCATGTTTGAGATAGGGGCATGTCTGACCCTAAGTGAGGGAAAGAACTAGTGCTTATTTCTTGCTGATCTTGTTTAATGACTGAATAAGATTCCTATGCTCAAAAATCTTGTGTGACTCCAACTCGATCTGGAACCCCCCATAGTCTGGCCCACTGGATTTTATGCATTCTTTCATATATGTTAAGGCCTATCAAGTCAAGTTAATGTACCCAGATGTCCCTCAGTGCAAGTTCATCCACTGGGGTCTAGTCAGCCTATCTAGAGTCTCTCCCTTAAAGAAGATCAACTGTCCCTCACCCAGCAGTAATCAGCTGCCAATAGTTCTTTGGCTAAGGTTGGGGCCTGCTACCCATTTCCCCAATTCTATGCTGGGTTTTTGTCTGATTGAATTTGCATGGATCTTGTGCATGCTGATACCATTGCTGTAAGTTCATATGAGCAAGTTCCCAGAGGCCTGGAAGAACTCTGGTTCCTTATGATCATGTACCCACCCTGACTCTTAACAACCTTTCTGCTCCCACCTTGTCATTTAACTTTAAGGGAAAGGAAAACGTGATGCTAGAAAGTACTCAGTGATAGTACAGGCAGGGTTCCCTATGGAGGGAAGAGACTGAGAGACTGTAGAGTCAAACTGGGTGGTTAGCACAGGATATGCTCTTTTATATTATTAGCTCTTGGCTAATAATATGACTGAAATATGATTGAGCTTTAACATTTGTCAATGCTGAAAGTGACAGCCAAACATTAGTATATAGTAAACAGATCAATAGTACATGCTGGCTACTTTTATCTTCCCCTCCAATCTGATAGGGAGGTGCTCGTGTTTTAAGGCTCTGTGTATGGCAAGTGACATCTAGAGGGCCCCAAACACCAAGGGGTTGTTGACAATGTTCTCAGAATCTTTTGTTTAATTGGGATATAATATATACCCTTAAAACTCAGTGGTAAGGTGAGGTAGAATATTACTTGGCAGTGGAATGTACAAATGATTATAGGAAGCCTTCCATGTTTGAGATAGGGGCATGTCTGACCCTAAGTGAGGGAAAGAACTAGTGCTTATTTCTTGCTGATCTTGTTTAATGACTGAATAAGATTCCTATG